AAAAAGAAATACAGGGCATCCAAATTGGTAGGGAAGAAGTCAAAGTATCTCTCTTTGCAGATGACATGATCTTATACACAGAAAAACCCCAAAGAATCCACAAGAAAACCACTGGAACTAATAGAAGATTTCAGCAAAGTTTCAGGATACAAGATAAACATACAAAAATCAGTTGGATTCCTCTACACCAACAAAGAGAGCTTTGAAGAGGAAATCACCAAATCAATACTATTTACAATAGCCCCCAAGAAGACAAAATACTTAGGAATAAATCTAACCAGACATAAAAGACCTATACAAAGAACACTACAAGACACTACTGCAAGAAACCAAAAGAGACCTACATAAGTGGAAACACATACCTTGCTCATGGATAGGAAGACTCAACATTGTGAAAATGTCAATTCTACCCAAAGCAATCTACAGATACAATGCAATCCCAATCCAAATTCCAACAGCTTTTTTTTTTTTTTTTTTTTTTTTTGGTTTTAACGAAGAGAAGTTTATTTCCTCACAGTTAAAGTAGGCTAAAAGTCCAAATTCAGGGCGTCAGCTCCAGGAGAAGGCTTTTTCTATATCAGCCTTCTTCTCTTCAGTGTTCCCCTGGACTAGGAGCTTCTCTGCTCAGGGACCCCAGTCCAAAGGACACACTCTGCTCCCAGCACTGCTTTCTTGCTTATTTGGGCTTTTTTTTTTTTTAACAATTGGATATGTAAAAATTTGAGTTTTGTGGCTGCAGGTGTATTGAGCTAAAGGGCTTTCTGTCTCACTGCTCACTTCTGTCTTTTATATCTCAAGAGATTGCCTCAGGACACAATCCAGTCTTCTAGATTGAGTCTTGCCTCACTAACACAACTGCCGCCCATCCCCCCTCATTAACATCATAGTGGCAGGATTTACCACACATGGGAAAATCACACAATACCGGCAATCATGGCCCAGCCAAACTGATACACATTTTTGGGGGGACATAATTCAATCCATGACATTCTACCCTTTGGCCTGCAAAAAAATCACATCCTTGCAACATGGAAAACATATTTACCCCATCATAACACAGCAAAAGTCTTAACTCCAAGTCCAAAATCCAAAAATTCCTCTTTATCTGTGAAATCCAGAATACAAGTTATCTGCTTCCAAAGGTACAATGGCAGAACAGGCACAAGCTAGACATTTCCATTACAAATGGGAAGGGATAACAGGCACCAAGCAAGTCAGCAGAAAACATTACATTAGCCCTCAAGGCTTTGAAAATAATCTTCTGTTCTCTGAGGCAATTTACATAATGGCCCCCCCCTCCAGACTCTAGGTATTGGCCACAGTCTCTGGATTCTGAGTGGAGGCCCACTGGCCCTGGGCTTCAGCTCTGCCTTCCAGGCCCCCTGGGACAGCAACTCTGCTCCCTTGGCTTCAGGCGCACCATTCTCCTAGTCCATTGGAGTGACAACTCCACCCTTAGAAACACCAGAGGCCATGGCGCCACCCTTTGAAACCCCTGAGGTCATGGCCATACCTTTTGAGACTGAAGCAGCTCAGCTTCTTGTGTCCCTTGTCTCTTCAGCTTCTGCTTCCCGTGGCCTCTTGGCCCGCAGGTCTCAAGCTCGCATCTGCCCTGCTGGGGCAAGTGTTCCAAAGCTCCACCGTTAAGTGCCCGGAAGCACCCCACTCTGCCAGGAAGCCTCCTGCGCACAGGCACTCAGCTCCCTTGCTTCATGGGTCAGCAAGCCTAGCTCCACCGATAAGTGCCCAGAGGCACCCCACTCAGCCAGGAAGCCTCCTGCGCACAGACACTCAGCTCTCTCACTCCGTGGGTCTGCTCCAGGGCTGCTGTCTCGCACTGGTCTCCTGGTTCTGTTGCTGTTGGTTCTCTGCCATTGCAGTTTCTCTGCTGTTGCTGGTCCTCTGACACTGCCGCACCTCTATCCATTCACAGTTTCAAAACCGCTTCCACATTTTAGGTATCTGTTAGAGCAGCACCCCACTCTCTCAGTATCAAATTCTGTCTTAGTCATCTAGTGCTGCTATAACAGAAAAACCACAAGTGGATGGTTTTAATGAAGAGAAGTTTATTTCCTCACAGTTAAAGTAGGCTAAAAGTCCAAATTCAGGGTGTCAGCTCCAGGGGAAGCCTTTTTCTCTCTGTTGGCCTTCTTCTCTTCAGTGTTCCCCTGGACTAGGAGCTTCTTTGTGCAGGGACCCTGGTCCAAAGGATGCACTCTGCTCCCGGCGCTGCTTTCTTGATGGTATGAAGTCCCCCCCAGCAGCATTTTTTAATGAGACAGAGAAACAAATCACCAACTTCATATGGAAAGGGAAGAGGCCACAGATAAGTAAAGCATTACTGAAGAAGAAGAACAAAGTGGGAGGCCTCACACTACCTGATTTTAGAACCTATTACACCACCACGGTAGTCAAAACAACCTGGTACTGGTACAACAATAGACACACAGACCAATGTAACAGAATTGAGAATCCACATGTAAATTCATCCACCCATGAGCAGGTGGTATTTGACGAAGGCCCAAAGTCCATTAACTGGGGAAAAGACAGTCTCTTTAACAAATAGTGCTGGCATAACTGGATATCTATCTGCAAAAAAATGAAACAAGACCCATACCTCACACCATGCACAAAAACTAACTCAAAGCAGATCAAAGACCGTATAAAATCTAAAACAATAAAGATCATGGAAGAAAAAATAGGGACAATGCTAGGAGCCCTAATACATCGCATAAACAGAATACAAAACCTTACTAACAATGCACAAGCACCAGAAGAGAAGCTAGACAACTGGGAACTCCTAAAAATCAAACACTTATGCTGATCAAAAGACTTCACCAAAAGAGTAAAAAGACAACCTACAGACAGGGAAAAAATTTTTGGCTATGACAACTCTGATCAGCATCTAATCTCTAAAATCTGCAAGATACTGCAAAACCTCAACGACAAAAAGACAACCCAACTAAAAAATGGGCAAAGGATATGAACAGGCACTTCATCAAAGAAGACATTCAGGCAGCTACCAGATGAGGAAATGCTGACGATCATTAGCCATTAGAGAAATACAAATCAAAACTACAGTGCGATACCATCTCACCCCAACAAGGCTAGCATTAATCCAAAATACAAAAATAATAAATGTTGGAGAGGTTGTGAAGAGACTGGAACACTTACACACTGCTGGTGGGAATGTAAAATGGTAAAACCACTTTGGAAATCGATTTGGCGCTTCCTTAAAAAGCTAGAAATAGAATTACCATACGATCCAGCAATCCCACTCCTTGGAATATATCCTAGAGAAATAAGAGCCATCACACAAATAGATATATGCACGCCCATGTTCACTGCAGCACAGTTCACAATAGCAAAAAGATGGAAACAACCTAGCTGCCTATCAATGCACGAATGGATAAACAAACTATGGTATATACACACATTGGAATACTATGCAACAATAAAGAACAATGAGGAATCCGAGAAACATAACATGGATGAATCTGGAAGGCATTATGCTGAATGAAATTAGTCACAAAAGGACAAATGTTTTATGAGACCACTATTATAAGAACTCAACAAAAGGTTTAAACACAGAAGAAAACATTCTTTGATGGTTATGATGGTGGGAAGAAAGGGAGAGGGGTATTCACTAACTAGACGATAGATAAGAATTATCTTAGGTGAAGGGAAGGACAACACACACTACAGGGGAAGTCAGCACAAATGGACTAAACCAAAAGCTAAGAAGTTTCCTGAATACAACCAAATACTTTGAGGGACAGAGTAGCAGGGGCAGGAGTCTGGGGACCATGATTTCAGGGGACATCTAGGTCAACTGGAACAACACAGTTTATTAAGAAAATGTTCTGCATTCCATTTTGGTGAGTGGCATCTGGGGTCTTAAAAGAGAGCAAGCGGCCATCTAAGATACATCAATTGGTTCCAACCCACCTGGAGCAAAAGAGAATGAAGAACACCAAAGACATAAGGGAAATACTAGCCCAAGAGACAGAAAGGGCCACAAAAACCAGAGATTCCATCAGCCTGAGACCAGAATAACTAGATGGTGCCCAGCTACTACCAATGACTGCCCTGACCAGGAACACAACAGAGAGTCCCTGATGGAGCAGAAGAAAACTGGGGTACAGAACTCAAATTCTAGTAAAAAGACCAGGCTTAATGGTCTGACTGAGACTGCAGGGACCCCAGAAGACATGGCCCCCAGACTCTGTTAGCCCAGAACTGAAACCATTCTTGAAGCCAACTCTTCAGACAAAAATTAGACTGGACTATGGGACATAAAATGATACTGGTGTAGTGTGTGCTTCTTAGCTCGAGTAGATACATGAGACTAAATGTGCAGCTCCTGTCTGGAGGCGAGATGAAAAGGCAAAAAGGGACAGGAGCTGGTTGAATGGACATGGGAAATCCGGGGTGGAAAATAGAAGTGTGCTGTCCCATTATAGGGAGAGCAAACTAGGGTTACATAACAATGTGTGTATAAATTTTTGTATGAGAAACTAACTCGAACTGTTAACTTTCACTTAAAGCATTATTAAAAAAAAAAATTAACTCTGTAATTTCATCTTTAGTTCTGAAATTTAAAAAGTTTAAAGGCTTCCGACCTTAAAATCCTTTGGTAGCCATTAGCAGAAATTATAGTTTCTTATCCTAAGGCCTTAAGATCCTTCATGAGCAGAATATAGGTAAATACACATTGAAGTCCCGTTGTCCCAGGGCTGCCTCATGCACTAGAAAGTAGAATGTGGAACAAACTACATTCCTCCTTGTTTTCAGTGGGATCCAGACTGACCACATTCTATGCATTATCCCAAAGACTCAAAATAGGGACACACTAAATTGCAGTGTGACCCTTATGTTGGTCATGTCTGAGCTTCCTTGGTCCCCAGAGAAGAATCAGTTCCTGTGTGCCCTGTGTTAATATCATCTACCACTCCTCTCTCCACTGAGAAGTGGCATGAGCTCAGTTTTTATATACATACCATTCTCCTCTTTTCTCTTTTCTTTGGCAGCTTTCAATTGTTGCTTCTCATAAATGTCCTTCAGATTCTTACAGATTTTTTTATGTGTAAACCAGTGTATTTTCTGGCAGGTTTGATCACAGTATATTACCTGAAAGCAATTGTAGATTTATTTTTATTTCAAGAGCTGTGACTGCATGGTTTTGCAACTATGCATTAAACCAAGAAATAGGTTGTAAAATGTTGCTTTCCATACTTTATTTTAAAACCATGATGTGTGAATATATCCTGGTCTAGACTTATAATTTTTAGCTTACACTTAAAAAAATTATAGCTATTTAAGAAAGTCTACAGAACATTCTACTAACAAATGGTTTATTAAGAAGCTATTATTTGTGAGAATATAATGACAAAGGAAATACAGTTGTTATCCCAGGGGAACCTAGGGTTGTTGAGAAAGTGTAAGATGGGGCAGGATGGAGGGAGGGAGACACCTAAATGATTATAATATAGGACAGGAAGTAAAAGCAATGGGAGCACAGAGGAAGCAGTGACTCACTCTGGCTGCAGGAAGTCAGCATAGACAGACAAATGGGAAAGCAGCATTCCTGGTGACGGGAATACCTTGAACAAAAATGCAGAAATGGGCAGATGAATTACATGTTCAAGGACAGAAAGAAATTTGATGTCAATAGAGCTTAGACTTTTGCAAGTGGGGCAGTAAAGACATGGGAATGAACCTCACTGAACATTTATATGCCAAGCACTTGCTAGGCCCTTGTAAATAAATGGTGTTGTCAATTACAATACTGGCCCCAATTATTCATTCTTCCGTGCATCTATACCCTTTCTTATGTGATTTCAAAGCTCCTTTTACTAAAAGGGAAGAGCTTTGACTATAGATTTTTGTCATATGACTTGTTTTGGCCAATAGAATGAGACTGCATGGCAATTTGGAGGTGAAGCCCCAAGAGACCTTGTGTGGTTCACTTATGTCTCCGCCATTGCCACAGAATATGCTCAGGTTAGTCTACTGGTCCAAAGAGGATGAGGGACATATGGAGCAGACAGCCGCAGATAAGCCCAATCAACCACAAACATGAGAAAAATAATAAATGATTGTTGTTTTAAGCACTGAGTTTTTTTTTTTTAAGCACTGAGTTTTTAAGTGTTTTTTTTAATGCAGTAATAGTTAACCAATAAAGATGGTGTCATTTAATTCACAACTCTAGCCCCATTTCACACATAAGGAAGTTGAAGTTCAGAGAAATAAGTAAGTAAAGGAGATGAAGCTGGAGAAGCAGGTTATGGTAGACTGTGATGAGTTTTATATAATATGCTAAAGAATTATCAACCTTCAAATCAATAGAAAATTAACATCTATGGGGTCAGGTGAGTACCCAGATATCTGCATGTGTGCAATATGTGTGTTTGAGATGAACATGATCAGATATGCCATTTATAAAGATAGCTCTGGCAGAGGTGGAGAGCACAGACCAGAAGAGGTAAAGACTGGTGACTGTCAAGAAGGAGTTGTAGTTTTACAAGAGTTAATGAAGAGATGGTAGTTAAAGTCAGTATCAGAAGGGTTAACTGTATATTTAAAAATTATCCCGTTCTAGGTTCCCATATCTGTACTAGCTTCAGTACCACTGCTCTATAGATAATCTTTGTATGTTTTATTTTCTCATTCGTTCATTTTTTTTTTTTTCTCTTTGGGGCGGTCAGCTTTGAAGCTAAGGCAGCCTGGGAGTTTAACAGAAGACAGGTAGGGTATAGAACTACATCTATACTATAGGTCTCTTCCAAAACTACTTCTTAAGTATTAGATATAATACCTTGTAGCCTTAAAGGAAAGACGAGAAGGTAAGCGGGAAGGGGAGCTAACATACTGGAAATGGTACCACAAGAACAGAATGAATGAGAATGATGACACATCGTGAAAGTTGTAGCCAGTATCACTGAATAATTTGTGTAGAAATTGTTAAATGGGAACCTAATTTGTTGTGTAAACTTTCACCTTAAACACAATAAAATATTATTTAAAAAAAATACCTTAGCGCTATATGAGAAAACTAATGTACTAGACAAGTCAACTCTTAAATTTATAGAACATCAAAATCCAGTATCAGCTTGGAAGAAAATCCAAACCAGTTATCAATGAACTTAAGAGACTTCATTCTTACCATTTTGCATACTGAACATCGTTTACTTGCTCCTTTTTCTCCACAGGTTGTGCAAAATTCAACATCTATAAAACCCACTTGACCAGTGATGGCTTGGTTAAGTACAGAGAATGCAGTGGGATCAGAACCCTAGAGTGGGTATAAAGAGGAGAAAAAGAATTCTGAAATAACCATGGAAAGACTAGAGAGATATCATTCATGAACAATATTGTCTAGAAACAGACACAAAGAAGAAATTATTAAGGCTAAAGTGCACAAAAGGAACCCTGCTGGTGCAGGGGCTAAGCTCTTGGCTGCTAACCAAAAGGTCAGGGGTTGGAACCCACCAGCCACTCCAAGAAAGAAAGATGTGGCACTCTGCACAGACTCTATGACAAAAGGACACACATCCTACTCTTCAATGTATACCTCTTTCTACACAAAGTATACAGTTGGAAGGTAAGTCATGGATCTCAATAATTAAAGAGAATAAAATGGTCCTTCTCTAGAAGAAAAGTATCTTTCAATTAGAATTATTCAATAAGCCTACGATGATTTCAGATATAGGAAAATAAACTAGTGGAATTTCTTCTGAGAACTGACATGACAATTTATATATCCTGTGGGACAATTCATAAGTTATAGCACAAATGTTCAACTATTTTAGTTCTTAAAAAAATTGGTGCAATGTAAAGTACTTTAAAAACTTGATACATTAAAAACTATTTACTTGATGTGAGTTCAGTTCAAATAGTTAAATTATCATCTTCATCTTCAGACTTTTCCAAACTCTTCAATTAACGTGGCATACGTGCAATTTCATCAGGGTATTAAAAAAACCAATGTGTAAAAACTTTTATTATAGGGCTATTAAAAATTGGGATGAGTTGTTAAAGAAGATTTGTGCAATTTTTTTATGTAGAAAAATTTAAGGGTAAATATTTATCTATCTGAGATGATGCTATTAAGACCTAATTAGAGCAAGCAAAAATAATTAAGAGTATCCAGCTATCTTACTTGCTCCTAGCAGTTCATAAAATTCAAAATCAGACTCGTTGCTGTAAAGTCAATTCCAACTCAGCAACCCTATAGGACAGAGTAGAACTGCTCCATAGGGTTTCCAAGGCTGTAAATCTTTACATAGGTAGACTGCCATATCTTTCTCCTGTGAGCAGCTGGTGGGTTCAAACTGCTGACTTTTCAGTTAGTAGCCAAGCACTTAACTACTGTACCGCCAGTACTCCTTAGCAGTTCATAGCTTCAAGTTTTTCAAATTTTCTCCTTTATCCCTACCCAAAATTCTGCCACTTTCCATAATTTGAATTCAATTTGAGTATTTGCTGATTATTCTTGAGAATATCTGACTTTATGTTATTTTACCAACTCTACATAATAGAATTTTAAAATATCACCTGGGAACAATGTTCTACACTGCTCTATATGCTCCAGATACTCAAACATTCAAAAAAATTAAGAAGTATTTTAAATGTAGCACCCATTTTGAAGCTATCATTCTCCCCTGAATACAAATAATAATGATTGGGTTTGCTCCCTTGTTAAGTACTAACAATCAGCTTTTGGAATGAAGACAGTGTAATGGTGGGGAAAAAATCAGGAAAATAAAAATTTAGATATTAGATGCTTAAGTTAATAATGTCCTCAGGAAAGAAAGTCTACGGCAGTGTGCTCAAACGTTGGTGTGCATCAGAAAACTTGTTAACATTCAGATACCTGGCACAATCCGATGCCTTCTAAATTAGAATCTCTAAGGGTATGGTCCAGTTTCATTTTCTTGGTTTAATATCATGTGGAATACTTATACAGATGTATAATTCTTTGCCTCAGTAGAAGAGTACTAAACCAGATAGCAGTCTGGCCCACAGATAAACAGAATATGATATAGTCAACAAACTTAACAATTACACGTTCATGTTTAAACATTTTTTTAAAGACCTGCCTAAGACTTCACCAAAATCTCCCCCAATATGGGACTTTTGTGTCAGACCACATGCTAACATTGTCACAGATGTTTAACTAAAGGTAAAATAAAGGAGATTTTGCTAGAAGTCTGACTGTTAATGTGAGCTGTTGCTTCAGAAAAATCAATGATGTTACAGCAGAACAACCCGACACAATCTTTCTTGTTACTGTTATGAAACAAGAACTCTTTCCTGTCATACAAAATCTTGTCATCTACTTTGTTAAATAAGAATAAATTTAGGCATCAGAACTGCTCCCACGGAAAGATATTCAGTCTAAAACAAACTGGATGCTTCATTCAATGTGTGCTATAAAATCTGAGATATTAGCTAGCTTTCCAGAAGCTAAAATATACATTGTCAGTTGATAAAGCAAAACATCTTCTACAGTATCATCCCTGTTATAACGCTGGAGCAACATTTCTTAAACGTAGTCATGCCTCATGCTTCCTTCTGAGCTTTTTAACATGCAGAAGCCAGAGTGCCAGACTGAATCAAAGCCGTGGAGTGAATCAAAACCGCTGCAAGAGGGCCCAGGCATCAGCACTGTTACACAGCGCGATAGGTTATTCTCGTGCTAGCCAGGGCTAAGAAACACTTGTTACAGGATAAGGTTAGCATCGACCAACAGTCAGTAAACAGTGACTATCTGAAATACACAACCACAAGCATTCCAGATAACAGCATTTCGAGAGAGTGGAGTATATAGTTCTTTTAGAAAAAAAATTTTAAAAGACAGAAATCATCCTCAAATGTATTATACTATCTTATATTTGTTAATAAATCTTTCCTTGATGACTCAGATCACTAGCATAAACGTTAATCATTATAGTCTGTAATTGTTGTTGTTTGGTGCTGTTGAGTCAATTTTGATGCATAGCAACCCAAGGTAACAGAGTAGAACTACCCCATAGGGTTTTCTAGGCTGTAATCTATATGGGAGCAGATAGCCGGGTCTTTCTTCTGCAAAACTGTTGGGTGGGTTTGAATTGCCATCTTTCAGTTAGCAGCTGAGTGCTTAACAGTTGCACTACTAGGGCTCCTTACTCTATAAATACATTATATATTTTCTACGGTATGGGGCTAAGATGAATTGTTGACCCCTACACTGACCTGCTGTGACTTTTTTTTAAGTACTCTGAGCTGCTATTTTTGGTTTTTCTGTTTTCCTCATTGAAAGTGCAATGTCCATTACCACTTGTTAGTGCTGTAAATACCCCATGGCCAGCATTGCCAGTTGCCACTCTGATATGGATTCCCCCAACTTCCTTACTAACAGAAGCCTAATTCTGTTCAGAGCAGCAGTTTAGACCAGCCCCAAATCCTCACTTCCCCAGACTCCTGTGCAGCTAAGAGTGGTCATGTGACATGAGAAAGCATTTCTGAGAGAGCTGGGATATAGGCACCTTTCTTGCTCTTCCTGGCTGAGTCAGGAACATGAGCCTGGAGGAGGAGCATCAGACATCTTGTAACCATGAGGTCATAAGCATGAGAATGAAAATCTGCGTGACTAAGGGATGCTGGGTGGAAGAATGGAAAGTGTTTGGGTCCCCAATCCATTTTTGAGCCTCTGTGCCAAGCCTGGTCTGCCTACCTCTGGGCTTCTGAGTATATACGAAAAAATAAACCCTTATCTATTTAATTCACAATTGACTGCAGTTTGACATGTGGAAACAAATACTTATAACTGATGAACCACCCTCATAATATGCTAACTTTGAGTTTAAAATCAAGCTTAAAATACCAAATAACCAGGTATATTTAAGAGTAAAGAATGTGTGAAAGTATGGAAAGTTCTCATGAATAAATGAATTGCATGAACTTTATGATATTATCTTGTCTGCTCAGGTCTTTCTTATTTAGTTCAAGGTTCTGAGTAGGTGAGGTCTTAATGTATAAAGGAACAACTGAAATCTGTTTCTAGTCTTGATTTTCCACCCTGAGAATGATACAACAGCCTACAGAAGGCACAGAGAAAGGAACTGAAATTGCCAGAGGGAAGGAGGAAGCCACCGATGGGACTGGTCTCAGGATCAATTTCTAGACTGATAGGCGAAGGCTGATATGGGTTTGAGTCAAACGTATAAAAGCATGAATAGTGTAGATACAGTGAGCAGAAACCTATTCAAGATAAGGAAGACAGGGAGTATCTTTTAAAATACTACTGAAATAAATACATAACAAAAGGGAAGTAATTTACAGATCAGATAATAAAGTTAACAAAACTCATTTCCCATGGCTGGCAAGTATGGAATATTTATAATCAGAAGCATTAAGTAGAATATAAGAAGCTGGCATATACTTTGACATTGTAATCGGGGAATATATGGTTCATCCCCCTACAACCCACTGACCTGAGACCATCACACGAGAAGATCAATTCCTATGTTCATCTAGTGTGCAGCTTTGTACTGACATTTCATGTAGCTACACATGTACACGTGTGTATCTGTGTTACATAGTGCATGTGTACCTACCTTTACAGTTTCACAGAGGCATTTAAAATGCAACCACTATAACTAGATACAAACGAACATAGGGAAATACTGCTTATTAAAACACTACCAGCTATAAAAAATCTAAGAAGATCACAAGAGGGTAAACGGATAAAAAGAAACAGGTTTAATAGGCAAACTTACCTCCACCTTTGTTTCTGGAAATTTTCTAAAATAATAAAAGTAAATACTAAAGTGAGCTTGACCTTAACTGTTCAAAAGGCAGTGATTAGGTTCTACTGATACAGCTGAGTTAAAGAACAGCCTTACAATTTCAACAGGAGCAATGCTTCGCACCAGCTGCTGGAGGAGTGTAGCTTCACAGTAAGGAAATTTTCTGATACTTTCTCTAACGATCTTTTCTTGATATGTTGGAAATCCATCAGTAGCTCGGCCTTTTAACAAGCTGAAAGATAATCTTTTAAGTCATTGGAGTTCAATCACGAAGCATTCCCTCCTAACTAAACCCATGAACCTTTAGTAGTTTATTTTTTGCTACCTAAGATTTTCATTGTCTCTTCAAATCATGACCATGGACGCAATTCAAAGTAATTGCTGGTAGACCTGTACTTTAGGCTAGGCCTTAGCGGGTTTAGGGGCCCTGAGATATATATGCAAAGTGACCCCCGCCATAAAACACACTCAACACTGTTATCCGATTAACTAGTTACTTATTACAATGTCAGTTATTTGTACAAAGAATTAAAACTCTCATTGAGTCACAACCTCCTAACTTAGTTCCCTTTTCTTAGAAAAATTATGGCAGACTTTGATTCCTGGTGTCAGAGAACAAGGATAACACACAAGCTTTCCAAGGTACTGTAACAGGGATACGTCATACGTCATTGTGAATCCAAGGCAGCAAACTGTGGCATAACAGACCCATTCTCAAATGTGGACTTCGGCTGCTTTTTAGCTGTATGATCTTACACACATTATTTAACTTGTCCAAACCTCAACTGTAAATTGGGGATAACAATCGTTATAACTCACAGCATTATTGTAGAGAGCTTAGAACTGAATAACCACTCAGTCTAAGTATAAAATAAGTATAAAAATCTGAGCATAAAATCTAAGTACAATTTCTCAAAGCTTAAATATGATTCCCAACAGTAACAAAAATAATGACAATATAGCACAATAAATAATAACTGCTGTTAAAATGTTCAGTTTTAAAATCCATAAAGAGGCTTCATACGAAACATTATTCACCTGAGTGTGCTCTGTACATAACATAGTAAAAACAGTACCTTTTGATCAGAGTATCTAGTTTATTCTCTCCGTCTTTTAAGAAGTTAATGCATTTCTGAAAGATACAGCTAATGTAGTGCGTTTTCATAGCCAATACTTCATTCATGTCTCTTTGCTTCATACATTTCTCACAAATCAAATCCATCACCTTGTAGCATTTACTCAGAGCTGCTGCTTCTGCCAGCAGAGGATTCTCATTTACAAGCATCACAATCTGGAAGAAAATCCAGTTAGCTTAGAAGTACCATGACAGACTTTTCCATGTACACATTATGTAATCAATTTTTGGTGGATTTTAGATATCTGCATCTACATACATGGTCCTCTATTTACTATGTTAACTCAAATTAGAAATCAGAATGGAAACTGCCACTGTTCAAAGCTATAAAACTAATACAGAGGGCCCTGACATCTTGGAATTTCCTGAGCTGGCTACATCAACATTATAGTGTAATCTGCCACCTAGCTGAACCAGGGTATTTGCATGCTACTCACAGTACATGGTTTTACTACACTGTTAAAAGCACTTTTCCTAAAGATAAACATGGCGTATTTGTGGATATTATTTTTATATCTAGAATCAAATCATTCATAACTACTTCTTTAATTAATATTCCTTAGCTCTAGAATTTCATGGCTGGGAGAGCTATAATTCTCATTCTTTTTTTTTTATTTTTCCTGTGCTTTAAGGAAAGTTAACAGTTCAAGTCAGTTTCTCATATAAAAATATATACACACATTGCTGTGTGACCCTAGCTGCTCTCCCTATAATGTGACAGCACACTCCTCCTTTCCACCCCAGATTGTCCATGTCCATTCAACCAGCTCCTGTCCCTTTTTTGCCTTCTCATCTTGCCTCCACAGGAGCTGCCCATTTAGTCCCATGTATCTACTTGAGCTAAGAAGCACTGTCTTCACAACTATCATTTTATCTCCCACAGTCCAGTCTAATCTTTATCTGAAGAGTTGACTTCGGGAATGCTTTCAGTTCTGGGCTAACAGAGAGTCCAGGGGCCATGTCTTCTGGGGTCCCTCCAGTCTCAGTCAGACCATTAAGTCTAGTCTTTTTACTAGAATTTGAGTTCTGCATCCCATTTTTCTCCTGCTCCGCCAGGGACTCTCTGTTGTGTTCCCTGTCAGGATGGTCACTGGAGGTAGCTGGGCACCATCTAGTTATTCTGGTCTCAGGCTGATGGAGTCTCTGGTTTATGTGGCCCCTTCTGTCTCTTGGGCTAATATTTTCCTTGTATCTTTGGTGTTCTTCATTCTTCTTTGCTCCAGGTGGGTTGGAACCAATTGATGTATCTTAGATGGCCGCTTGCTAGCTTTTAAGACCCCGGATGCCACTCACCAAAATGGAATGCAGAACATTTTCTTAATAAACTCTGTTGTTCCAGTTGACCTAGATGTCCCCTGAAATCATGGTCCCCAGACTCCCACCCCTGCTACTCTGTCCCTTAAAGTGTTTGGTTGTATTCAGGAAACTTCTTAACTTTTGGTTTAGTCCAGTTGTGCTGACTTCCCCTGTAGTGTGTGTTGTCCTTCCCTTCACCTAAGATAATTCTCATCTACTATGTAGTTAGTGAATACCCATCTCCCTCCCTCCCCACCCTCATAACCATCAAAGAATGTTTTGTTCTGTGTTTAAACCATTTCTTGAGTTCTTATAACAGTGGTCTCATACATTTGTCCTTTTGCAACTGACTAACTTCACTCAGCATAATGCCTTCCAGATTCATTCGTGGTATATTTCTTGGAATCCTCATTGTTCTTTATCATTGCATAATATTCCATTGTGTGAATATACCATAGTTTATCCATTCATCTGTTGATAGGCACCTTTGTTGTTTCCATCTTTTTGCTATTGTGAACTGTGCTGCAACAAACATGCAAGTGCATATATCTATTTTTGTAACGGCTCTTATTTCTCTAGGATATATTCCAAGCAGTGGGATTGCTGGATTGTATGGAACTTCTATGTCTAGCTTTTTAAGAAAGCACCAAATCGATTTCCAAGGTGGCTGTAACATTTTACATTCCTACCTTCAGTGTATAAGTGTTCCAGTCTCTCCACAACCTCTCCAACATTTATTACTTTGTGTTTTTTGGATTAATTCTAGCCTTGCTGGGGTGAGATGGTATCTCATTGTAGTTTTGATTTGCATTTCTCTAATGACTAATGATCGTGAGCACTTCCTCATGTATCTGGTAGCTGCCTGAATGTCTTCTTTGGTGAAGAGCCTGTTCATATCCTTTGTGCGTTTTTTAATTGGGTTGTCTTTTTCTTGTTGGTTTTGCAGTATCTTGCAGATTTTAGAGATTAGACCCTGATCAGATTTGTCGTAGCCAAGAATTTTTTCCCAATCTGTAGGTTGTCTTTTACTCTTTTGGTGAAGTCTTTTGATAAGCTTAAGTGTTTGATTTTTTGGAGCTCCCAGTTATTTGGTGTCTCTTCTGGTGTTTGTGCATTGCTAGTAATGTTTTATTTTATGTTTATGTCATGTATTAGGGCTCCTAGCATTGTCCCTGTTTTTTCTTCCATGATCTTTATTGTTTTAGATTTTATATTTAGGTCTTTGACTCACTTTGAGTTAGTTTTGTGCATAGTATGAGGTAGGGCTCTTGATTCATTTTTTTGCAGATGGATATACAATTATGCCAGGATCATTTGTTAAATGTCTTTTCCCCAATTAATGGACTTTAGGCCTTTATCAAATATCAGCTGCTCATAGGTGGATGAATTTACATCTGGATTCTCAATTCTATTCCATTGGTCTATCCATCTGTTGTTGTACCAGTACCAGGCTATTTTGACTACCCTGGTGGTATAATAGGTTCTAAAATCAGGGAGTGTGAGGCCTCCCACTTTGTTCTTCTTCACTAATGCTTTACATATCCGGGGCCTCTTCTCTTCCATATGAAGTTGGTGATTTGTTTCCCCATCTCATTAAAAAATGTCATTGGAATTTGGATCAGGGTTGCATTGTATCTGTAGATTGCTTAGGGCAGAATAAACATTTTCACAACTTGAATATTCCTATCCATGAGCAAGGCATGTTTTTCCACTTATGTAGGTCTCTTCTGGTTTCTTTCAGTAGTGTCTTGTAGTTTTCTTTGCATAGGTCTTTTACATAGCTGGTTAGATTTACTTCTAAGTATTTTATCTTCTTGGGGGCTACTGTAAATGGTATTGATTTGGTGATTTCTTCTTTGAAGCTCTCTTTGTTGCTGTGGAGGAATCCAACTGATTTGTATATGTTTGTCTTGTAACCTGATACTTCGCTGAAATCTTCTATTAGTTCCAGTAGTTTTCTTGTGGATTCTTTGGGATTTTCTGTGTATAAGATCATATCATCTGCAAACAGAGATACTTTTACTTCTTCCTTACCAATTTGGATGCCCTTTGTTTCTTTTTCTAGCCTAACTGCTCTGGCTAGGACCTCCAGCAGAATGTTGAATAATAGTGGTGATAAAGGGCATCCTTGTCTGGTTCCCGTTCTCAAGGGGAATGCTTTCAGGCTCTCTTCATTTAGGATGATGTCGGTTGTTGGCTTTGTATAAATGTCCGTTATTATGTTGAGGAATTTCCCTTCTCTTCCTGTTTTGCTGAGAGTTTTTATCATGAATGGGTGTTGATGCCTTTTCTGCATCGACTGATAAGATCATGTGGTTCTTGTCTTTTGTTTTATTAATGTGATGGATTACATTGATTGTTTTTCTAAAGTTGAACCATCCCTGCATACTTGGTATGAATCCCACTTGGTCATGGTGAATTATTTTTTTGATATGTCGTTGAATTGTATTGGCTAGAATTTGGTTGAGGATTTTTGCGTCTATCTTCAGGAGGGATGCTGGTCTGTAATTTTCTTTTTTTGTGGTGTCTTTACCTGGTTTTGGTATTGGGATTTTCCTGGCTTCACAGAATGAGTTTGGGAGTATTCTACCCTTTTCTACACTCTGTAATACCTTAGTAATAGTGGTGTTAACTCTTCTCTGAAAGTTTGGTAGAATTCTCCAGTGAAGCCGTCTGGGCCAGGGCTTTTATTTTTTTGTTGGGAGTTTTTTAATGACCTTTTCGATCTCTTCTTTTGTTATAGGTTTATTTAGCTGTTCTACCTCTGTTTCTGTTAGTTTAGGTAGGTAGTGTGTTTCTAGAAATTTGTCCATTTCCTCCAGGTTTTCAAATTTGTTAGAGTACAGTTTTTCATAGGATTCTGTCATGATTCTTTTAATTTCAGTTGAGTCTGTCTTGATATCACCCATCTCATTTCTAATTCAGGTTATTTGCTTCCTCTGTTGTTTTTCTTTTGTCAGTTGGACCGATGGTTTATTGATTTTGTTGATCTTTTCAAAGAACCAGCTTTTGGTCTTAACTCTTTCAATTATTTTTCTATTGCATTTAATTCTGCTCTAATTTTTATTATTTGCTTTCTTCTAGTGCCTGAGAGCCTCTTTTGCAGCTCTCTTTCTATTTGTTCAAGTTGTAGGGTTAACATTTTGATTTTGGCCCTTTCTTCCTTTTGGATGTGTGCATTTATTGCTATAAATTGACCCGTGAGCACTGCTTTTGCTGTGTCCCAAAGGTTCTGGTAGGATCTGTTTTCATTCTTGTTTTATTCTGTGAATTTCTTTATTCTATCCTTAATATCTTCTATAAGCCAGTAGTTTTTGAGCAAGATGTTGTTCAGGTACCATGTGTTTGATTTTTTTTCCTTGCTTCTTCTGTTGTTGACTTCTACTCTTACAGTTTTATGGTCAGAAAAGATGCTCTGTAATATTTCGATGCTTTGGATTCTGTTAAGGCTTGCTTTCTGGCCTAATATGTGTCTGTTTTGGAGAATGTTCCATGTGCATTGGAAAAGAAAGTGTACTTGGCTGCTGTTGGGTGGAGTGTTCTGTATATGTCTATGAGATCAAGTTGGTTGACTGTGGCATGTAGTTTTTTGTGTCTTTATTGAGCCTCTTTCTGGATGTTCTGTCCTTCACCGAAAGTGGTGTGTTGAAGTCTCCTACTATTATTGTGGAGCTGTCTGTCTCTCTTTTCAATGCTGTTAGAGTTTGTTTTGTGTATCTTGGAGCTCTGTCATTGGGTGCCTAAATACTAATTATGGTTATGTCCTCCTGGTGTGTTGACTCTTTAATCATTATATGGTGTCCTTCCTTATCCTTTGTGGTGGGTTATACTTTGAAGTCTATTTTGTCAGAGATTAATAT